TGATCGATAAAAAAAAAAAAAATATGAAACATGGTGATGAATATGAAACATGGTGATGAATATGAAACCTGGTGATGAATATGAAACATGATGATGAATATGAAACATTGTGATGAATATGAAACATGGTGATGAATATGAAACATTGTGATGAATATGAAACATGGTGATGAATATGAAACATTGTGATGAATATGAAACATGGTGATGAATATGAAACATGATGATGAATATGAAACATTGTGATGAATATGAAACATGGGGATGAATATGAAACATGGTGATGAATATGAAACATGGGGATGAATATGAAACATGGTGATGAATATGAAACACGGTGATGAATATGAAACATGGTGATGAATATGAAACATGGTGATGAATATGAAACATTGTGATGAATATGAAACATGGTGATGAATTTGAAACATGGTGATGAATATGAAACATGGTGATGAATATGAAACATGGTGATGAATATGAAACATTGTAATGAATATGAAACATGGTGATGAATATGAAACATGGTGATGAATTTGAAACATGGTGATGAATATGAAACATGGAGATGAATATGAAACATGGAGATGAATATGAAACATTGTGATGAATATGAAACATGGAGATGAATATGAAATATGGTCATGAATATGAAACATGGTGATGAATATGAAACATGGTGATGAATATGAAACATGATGATGAATATGAAACATTGTGATGAATATGAAACATTGTGATGAATATGAAACATGGGGATAAATATGAAACATGGGGATGAATATGAAACACTGTGATGAATATGAAACATGGTGATGAATATGAAACATGGTGATGAATATGAAACATGGTGATGAATATGAAACATGGTGATGAATATGAAACATTGTGATAAATATGAAACATGGTGATGAATATGAAACATTGTGATGAATATGAAACATGGGGATATGAAACATGATGAATATGAAACACTGGATGAATATGAAACATGGTGATGAATGAAACATGGTGATGAATATGAAACATTGTGATGAATATGAAACATGGTGATGAATATGAAACATGGTGATGAATATGAAACATGGTGATGAATATGAAACATGGTGATGAATATGAAACATGATGATGAATATGAAACATGGTGATGAATATGAAACATTGTGATGAATATGAAACATGGTGATGAATATGAAACATTGTGATAAATATGAAACATGGGGATGAATATGAAACATGGGGATGAATATGAAACACTGTGATGAATATGAAACATGGTGATGAATATGAAACATGGTGATGAATATGAAACATGGTAATGAATATGAAACATGGGGATGAATATGAAACATGGTGATGAATATGAAACATGGTGATGAATATGAAACATGATGATGAATATGAAACATGATGATGAATATGAAACATGGTGATGAATATGAAACATTGTGATGAATATGAAACATTGTGATGAATATGAAACATGGTGATAAATATGAAACATGGTGATGAATATGAAACATTGTGATGAATCTGAAACATTGTGATGAATATGAAACATGCTGATGAATATTGAGTCTAGCATCTTGAAATCAGAACAATAAGTATATGATCTTGAATTCTGAACACTTATTGCTGTGTCTTGAATGCAGAACAATAACTATAGGATCTTAAATTCTGAACACTTATTGCTGTGTCTTGAATGCAGAACAATAACTATAGGATCTTGAATTCTGAACACTTATTGCTGTGTCTTGAATGTAGAACAATAACTATAGGATCTTGAATTCTGAACACTTATTGCTGTGTCTTGAATGTAGAACAATAACTATAGGATCTTGAATTCTGAACACTTATTGCTGTGTCTTGAATGTAGAACAATAACTATAGGATCTTGAATTCTGAACACTTATTGCTGTGTCTTGAATGTAGAACAATAACTATAGGATCTTGAATTCTGAACACTTATTGCTGTGTCTTGAATGTAGAACAATAACTATAGGATCTTGAATTCTGAACACTTATTGCTGTGTCTTGAATGAAGAACAATAACTATAGGATCTTGAATTCGTAATACTTATTGCTGTGTCTTGAATGTAGAACAATAACTATAGGATCTTGAATTCTGAACACTTATTGCTGTCTTGAATGTAGAACAATAACTATAGGATCTTGAATTCTGAACACTTATTGCTGTGTCTTGAATGTAGAACAATAACTATAGGATCTTGAATTCGTAATACTTATTGCTGTGTCTTGAATGTAGAACAATAACTATAGGATCTTGAATTCTGAACACTTATTGCTGTGTCTTGAATGTAGAACAATAACTATAGGATCTTGAATTCTGAACACTTATTGCTGTGTCTTGAATGTAGAACAATAACTATAGGATCTTGAATTCTGAACACTTATTGCTGTGTCTTGAATGTAGAACAATAACTATAGGATCTTGAATTCTGAACACTTATTGCTGTCTTGAATGTAGAATAATAACTATAGGATCTTGAATTCTGAACACTTATTGCTGTCTTGAATGTAGAACAATAACTATAGGATCTTGAATTCTGAACACTTATTGCTGTGTCTTGAATGTAGAACAATAACTATAGGATCTTGAATTCTGAACACTTATTGCTGTGTCTTGAATGCAGAACAATAACTATAGGATCTTGAATTCTGAACACTTATTGCTGTGTCTTGAATGTAGAACAATAACTATAGGATCTTGAATTCTGAACACTTATTGCTGTGTCTTGAATACTGATTCCAGTAACCTAAATGTTAAACATTGACACAAGTCTTCTGTATCAGATCACCAATGTACTATATGCCAGTATTTCAAACTATAATAGCCGTGACATAATCCACTCAAAATTGCATAAATTTTTATGCAATTACTGGAAAGACATCATCGCGTCACTCGCTCGCTCAACCGTCCGATAAGCCACATGTGTCTCGACTCGTCGCCCGCTAACTACCCATTCGTAGCCTGATTCTCGATAGCTAGATACTGGACAATTACTCGCTTGATATTCAGCTGAGTTTGTCTCGACTACGCTATCGGGGTCGTCTGCGTTTGGGTTATTAGCAGCCCGTGAACACACCATTGTTGAAACGATTGTCTGGATACTGTCTGGGGAGCACGCTTGGTGTCCTTTTCTATTATACTTAACAAGCCTTGCCGACCTGTCAGTTGAAAGCTTTCGCCAAGCACCTGATTAGCTCGGCCAGTACAGCTTTGTTAGCCACAGCCACACTAATCATGGAACGTGGCAAGAAGATTCCGACCCAGCGCCGAGACACCAGGTCAACCTCAGCCGAAAAGGAGGAAGCGATTGTCGTCGCACCAGCCCCAACGGAGCCGACGATGCCAGAACCGGTTGACGACCCTGAAGAGACGCCAGCCTCATCCACCCAGACGCCGCCAGCCCTGGATGTAGCCCCGATCAAGGCACCAGTGTACGTAGAAGTCGCCCCAGTCGTGGCGCAGGAACCAACCAACACCCACCCACTCAGGCAGCAGCAGCAGCGACCGGGAGCCCACATTACAGAATTTTTGCAGTGCTCTCGCTGTAAAAAGGCGTGGCACTCTGCCTCGTCATGCTGCAACAGCCCGTTGTGCCGTTACTGTTCCGGTCCACATTTCTTCAAGGAATGCCCTAAAGCGAAAGTGGATCCGGACTTCAAGAAGCCAAACGCAAGTAGAAGATGCTCTAATTGCTCCGGTGCACACAGCGCCAGGTACATGGGATGCCCGTAGCTAAAGGAAGTCAAGAGAGCTATGGCGAATACCACCACCAGGACCACTCACAACCCAGAGCCGAAACGAAGATCCCAGGCGCCCAGGCCGACAGTTGCACCCAAGAACAACAACGAAATTGCACATCTGAGGGATGAAATTAAGACCCTGCGTGAAGAGAACGCAAAAATCAAGGCACCCAGGACACAAGACAGGCACGAGTTGGTAGACCTGAGAAGTATCCTGCAGTCACTACTTGAGATCCAGAGGAGACTAGAGAAGGAAAACGCAGAAATGATGACATTCAAAATCGACTTGATGGCAAATCTAATCGACCTCAAGAAGATGAAGGAAGCAAATGCAGTAGCAGCCAAAGAACTGAAAGACAATCAGGCAAGCTTACTATCCGATGTCTCCAATATCAAGAAAGACTTGACATAAACCAAAGAAAAGATAACAAGATCAAGCGAAGAATGTACCAAACTGAGAGCAGCACTCCAAGCCACAAACAAAATTGTCAATGCCAGAGAAAACGCCAAGAAAGAAAAGGAAAGAAGAACAAAGCTGCTTTTGGAATCTTTCGACAACGCAAGGAAAGAAGAAGAAGAAAAAGAAAAGGCAGCAGAAAAAATACAGGAGGAGGAAGACAGAATAGCAGACAGAGAAGAAGCAAAGAAACTGGCAGCAGAAAACTTAGCCAAACAAGAGAAAGCGAAAGAAGCGCTCAAGAAAGTGACCAACAGCAAACCGTTTATATTCGAATACAAAGGGCCTACTTACTACGACAGCCCATAAACAAGCCGCCATGACAGCTGAACAAGCCCGTACACCAGCCCGGAGTAACCTCACAGCTCGCAACCAGCCAGGCATGATGTCCACTGCCAAATTGACTCCCACCCTACCCGATCCAGGCCCTTTTTAGGGCAGACCGAGATCCCTTCCTACACTCTGAATGCAACAGCGAACCTCAGGCGTAATATAAATGCCGCAACAGAAACTTGACGATAACTGGAAACCGAATTTCAGGCACAAAAACACAGCCTTCGATATAACCACTGCTCAATCTAGGAGCCGGTTGAAAGAGGCGCAAAGTTTTTTTTTTTTTTTTACCAATGCCAAGACCAAGACCAAAAGACACACCTTTCAGTCAGTTGACTCTGCCTATCATCTACATATAAATTACAGAGATGTAGTTGTGAATAATTTTTTTTTTAAATACAGTATACGCTTAACAAAATTTTACAAGCTGAGGTCTCACCACTCCTTTCTCCCAAATGACTGACATTCTATCCTCGACACCATTAACTCCATTAGGAATCCTGGTGAAGTCATCCTTGCCAAGAGCTTTCTGGTCAGCATTATAAGTGCAGTTATCTGAGCCAGTCAGCTGGAGATCATTGCTAAAGTCAAGGAAAGTACAATTTAAAAAAGCAGTTTAGACAATAGAATATAAAGTACATACCATTTTTCAAAATAGAATTTCGATCAATGCAATAGATGCTTTGCTGTTACTGTGAAATCAGAAATCCCCCCCCCCCCCCCCCCCCCCCCCTTTCCTCCCATAAAACAATGTTTGCATTGAAAAATACGACATCTTCACTGTAAAGAGTTGTTAAAGTAGACTTTCCATATGGTCTTTGTCATCGCCATTTTGATTCACGGAAGATAAGTTTATAATTCTCACCGGTCCTAATAAGTCAGCAGACAAGGAACTTTAATTTATTCTGATAGTGAGCCTCAACAGATGTTTGGTGTCACAATGTGGACAATTAGCGATCTTAACAAAACAATGTAACAATTTGCAAAAGCGGCTGGAGAATTCTTACCTAGTAAAGAACCTAGGTACAAAGCCAAGAAAATCCTGCTGTAATACAGTTAGGAACCGATTGTTCTTGTGTGTGTGTGTACATTTTCCCCCCTTTCCACCTATGCTGAGCTTTTGATCACAGTTTAGTAATATTAATTTCTTGATACTAGCCTGACAAGTCAGCCCTGTTTTTATCAATAATGTGTACAGCGCCTGACAAGTCAGCCCTGTTTTTATCACTGTGTACAGTGCCCAGATGAAAATAAAAAAGTCATTTACTAACTCTTTGAGTCCCAAGGAAAGCATCATATGTTCATAGATTCCTACCTAGAAGCCCAATGAACGCAAGATGTGCTGATTTTACGTCTTTCTTGACTACCCCTTGGGCCTGTGATGCTAAATCCCCTAGGATTCAGAGAGTTAAGGACCAAATCTGTCATATGTTACATTTTATGATGACGAGAATAACTCACTTGGCCAAAAGGTCCATGAGCACCCCAGGTGTGGAAACATCATCACGGAGTGGTGGAGACATAACATGGCCTGCTGCATGGCGCCAACATTTGTTGAAGTGATGAGTTCCATCTGTGCCTAGACCTGAAGCTAAGGTTTCTCCAAATACAATCTTACCTACAAAAGAACATTCAATAATATTAGCCTTCTGCTGCAAGAAGTCCCCTGCTGCAAACTGAACTCTTTTTATAAATGAACTACCTTATATTAGTGGCATCTACATTTTTGTGATATATGTAGTTTGTAACAATAAGGTATTATTTCCTCTGAGGTTCTGCAAAAGTGGTATTGCGTCTTTAACTTCAGAGTGCAAGCCATAGTCTGGTTTAAGGTTTTAAACAACCGATCAACATCATGGCACACGGGTGTAACCCATAAGTGCTCCATTCTTCTTTTAACTCAAGTCTGAGTCCGATGAAGCTCAGCACAGTGCACAGGCTCTATAGCACCAGCGAGAATCCTGAAATACTTTGGGTAGATTTTAAACTCAAAATTTTGCCCGAGCAGCGCCGTTAGGCTACTCTTTTTGATTTCCAACTGCCAAGGGATTTTTTTTTACGTGCGCAACAATGCACACGGGCATTAGATCTCACTACCCAGAGACCAGGGAGAATTACTAGAAGCCCAAGTCCATGTGAAAAAATCCCAGCTCTTACTGGGGATTGAACCCAGAACCTCTAGCACTCGAGGCGGACACCATGCCTCTAGACCACGCAGCCCCCTTCAAGCCATAGTCTTTGGTTTCTCAGTGTCATGCTACAGGCTCATTCAGTATATGGTGCTAGACCATAAAACACTTGACTGGTCAAGTGATCAACATCATACCAGCCGTCTTTACTTCCCAGGATATTTCTTGATGACTATTTTAGACTTGGTCATTCTGGCAGCCCTAGGTCAAATATAAAACTGTACCAATGTGGATTCAAACCTAGACCTTTGAGTCAGTAAGTAAGTGTCTATCCACTGCGCTACAGGGAGAGCAAGAGTATAGTACCAACTTTGAATTACTGTATCCCTTAATGGAAAACCCCCATAAAAGTTAATAATTTTTAGCTTTTCTATTTATTTACTAATCATCTATGGAAACAATGATGCATCTGATCATTCTTTCAATATTTGTGGAGATGGGTTTTCCCTACTGGTTCAAATAAATAGTCACGATTATGCTAGGCCATGTAAGGTCGTGGAAGACCAAGGGAAACCCTACGTAGAACTATCATCAGGGAAGGCTCGCTCATGGGCCACTCAAACATCCAAGACCTACAACGGATTGCAACGGACCGCCGTGCATGGAGAGTCACGACCTCTGCCCTATGTGCCGCACTCGACACAAGAGGAAAGACTAACTAACTAACTAATGTAAGGTTTGTACCTTACGCTGGGGCTGTGAGGGCTTTCTTGTTTGATAAATAAACCATTTAATTTTTACTATCTACTCCCTTCCTGTAAAACCAGCCACTTTTGTTAAACAACTTATTTAACAAGTTGTCACCTTTCATTCTGGGCCTTAAGTCCATGCTTGAAACTGGTGACAAATTGTTGGTGTGAAATTACTGTTGATTCTTGTATTTTCAGTTTAACAATGTGGATGCTGTAGCAATCCTGTCAGATGATGTGTTAGTGAACCTGCCCTGTAAGCAACTGTTTTCACTTCTCTGCCTCTTCTATTATGCGTGACTTTGTTCCTTAGATGTCTTAACTGACTGACTTAACAAAGGTTGCTGAAATATCCAGGCTATATCCTGTATCCTGACTATTATTTTTCTGCTTTTTATCCACAAATGGAACTAGGATCCCCAACCAGCCTGCACCAAGCCGTCTGCTCCATTGCCCAAATGTGCAGCTCATCCCATGTCCTCATCTTTTTCACTTATCTCTGTTACCTTCACCATGTGCTTTTTGTCTCCTATATATTTTGACCACTTGGGTTCCAGTGCAAGGACATTCTAATGATATGATCTCAGGTTTGCACTCAGTGCGGACTATCTAGTTCCAGTGTCTTTTCCTTATGTCCTGACTGATTTATATTTGTTCCATTTCTCTCCTAAAGCCCTGCAAATGAGCTTTTATTGTATAATATAATTCCCTAAGTTGTGTATAGGCACCAGATAATGGACTGTAGTAGTTTATTAGTAAATATTTTAACCAAGTCTACAGCTAAAGGTGAAAATGGGCATAACTGTGGCATTCTTGTCTTACTCCAAATTTAACTTAGTTCAACGTCATGCTGAAAACTTCACGTCTTTATACTGGCTTTAGGAAGTTCATTATTGTCTGTGCGATGAGATACGAAGGTGACCCATTCACTGCGATGTTGGAACTGCGATTATCTGTGTGATCAGTGCCTCTTCAATTTGCAAAGAGATTTCCTGCCAATGCTGGCAAAGTCTTAGAAAGGGAGACGAGTTAAGGTCAATGTTGTGTTTTATTATTATTATCCAAGATGTGGAATCTGGTTAAAGCAGGATTGTTTGGCTGAAAACTGGTCTATTCATGCCTTCATTATTTGTCAATGGCATTTCTCAATCTGTCTAAAATAAATAATAATATAATATTAATATTTTCCCAGTGTTTTGTTGGGCAAACTTCGTGCCGATCTTTCAACTGCTTGACTTTACAATAGTTGTAGTGCATATTTACAAATTTATTTAAGTACTATATGTGCATTCTTCCCATGTGGGTTCTGGGGCCCCATTTTGGGAGGGGGAAAAAGACGCACTGCCCCATGCATGTCGTAAAAGGCCACTAATAAAGGCTGTCCTGAAACCAGATATGTTGGGCAAAACGGAGCACATACTGCAGCCCTTTTAAGGTCAAATGCAGAAAAAAAAAAGTGTGCATACACATTAAATTGTTCTTTCAATTTTTTGTCAACATTGAGTAAAGTGGCCTACCTTCCCTTCTAGCCTTAGATATGACGTCTGCTGCAGTTTTTCCCATGACATGGACAACATAAAGTGGAGCTCCAGCCTGATCAGCAATTATGATGGCCCGTGTGGTTGCCTCCACTTCACACTAGACACAATCATACATGAGATTACAAAATGTGAAACTACACATATATTTTATACAATAAGGTAACTTGTTTAAAGGATAACTGTTTTACTGTATTGTGTTTACATAAACTAATGCAGATCATCACTGTTGTTCCATCTAATGTTGGGTGGATCAAGAGCTGTCACAACATGAACACTCACTGTTGTTCCATCTAATGTTGGTTGGATCAAGAGCTGTCACAACATGAACACTCACTGTTCTTCCATCTAATGTTGGTTGGATCAAGAGCTGTTACAACATGAACCATCACTGTTATTCCATATAATGTTGGGTGGATCAAGAGCTGTCACAACATGAACCATCACTGTTGTTCCATCTAATGTTGGGTGGATCAAGAGCTGTCACAACATGAACCATCACTGTTGTTACATCTAATGTTAGGTTGATCAAGAGCTGTCACAACATGAACACTCACTGTTGTTCCATCTAATGTTAGGTTGATCAAGAGCTGTCACAACATGAACACTCACAATGTTACTGTCACTCATCACAACCGCAACAGTAAAAAATACAGGAATGCTGTTTCTGTGAATCTGGTGATATGCTTTTATAACGACTAACATTACCATCTCTACACTGTATTGTAGTTAAAAATATATCAGGGAAACTAGTAGGAGATCAGCGAATCATTTAATAAACATCTTATGGGCATTCACAAGGATGCTCCAAAACTGGTCTCTCTCAATATTACAGGTGTTTCTCCTTAGAAAATCACCTCATTCATAGTTTAAACATTCTCAATTTAGCAGCAATCAATGTTCAGCATTAAAGATTCTCAATTTAGCAGCAATCAAAGTTCAACATTAAACATTCTCAATTTAGCAGCAATCAAAGTTCAGCATTAAACATTCTCAATTTAGCAGCAATCAAAGTTCAGCATTAAACATTCTCAATTAAGCAGCAATCAAAGTTCAGCATTCCTTTATCTTATCTGGTTACAATAACATTTAAAATATTTCCTGGGCTTCCCCAGTACAAAAACATCTAAAATGCCAGTGAAAACACTTTGTGCCCTAACCCCATTCAACCAGCTTCTTTCTTCTCTTATTTCTCTCTGCAAGGCCATATCCATGGGTAACATCTTAACTTCTCTCTTTACTCTAATCTTTGCATGAAAATCCTCTAGTATTACAGTTGTTTCCACAAAGCGCCATATTGAGCTTGTGAAAATTATCACTTACTTGTTCTGTGTTGTCTGTAAAAAAAATTCCAATATATTTCTTCGTCATTTATCAACTCTATGGACCTACACATCTTCTTAGGTTCAAAGGGCCATTTACTATAACATTACTATGAACAAAGAGATTCCTGAACTTTCCTTCCCTCGATAAATGCTACAGTGTGCCCTCTGTAATATATGATGGTGTTTTAGTAAAGCTGATTTTTTCCACTTTTAATTTATTAACAATCAAACAGTATCTGTCCCATGACAATCTTCAGTATTGTGAACAAGTTTGTGAATTTGGTTTTGAAATGTTTTAAAGATCCAACATTCCTGGGTGAGTTCCATGGTTACACTGTGAGATGTTTCAAAGATACAACATTCCTGTGTGGGTTCCATGGTCCCATTGTGAAATGTTTCAAAGATCCAACATTCCTGTGTGGGTTCCACTGTCACATTGTGAGATGTTTTAAAGATCCAACATTCCTGTGTGGGTTCCATGTTCCCATTGTGAAATGTTTCAAAGATCCAACATTTCTGTGTGGGTTCCACTGTCACATTGTGAGATGTTTCAAAGATCCAACATTCCTGTGTGGATTCCATGGCCCCATTATGAGATGTTTAAAAGATCCAACATTCCTGTGTGGGTTCCACTGTCACACTGTGAGATGTTTTAAAGATCCAACATTCCGGTGTGGATTCCATGGCCCCATTGTGAAATGTTTCAAAGATCCAATATTCCTGTGTGGATTCCATGGCCCCATTGTGAAATGTTTCAAAGATCCAATATTCCTGTGTGGATTCCATGGCCCCATTGTGAAATGTTTCAAAGATCCAACATTCCTGTGTGGGTTCCATGGCCCCATTGTGAAATGTTTCAAAGATCCAACATTCCTGTGTGGGCTCCATGACCCCATTGTGAAATGTTTCAAAGATCCAACATTCCTGTGTGGGTTCCATGGCCCCATTGTGAGATGTTTCAAAGATCCAACATTCCTGTGTGGGCTCCATGACCCCATTGTGAAATGTTTCAAAGATCCAACATTCCTGTGTGGGCTCCATGGCCCCATTGTGAGATGTTTCAAAGATCCAACATTCCTGTGTGGGCTCCATGACCCCATTGTGAAATGTTTCAAAGATCCAACATTCCTGTGTGGGCTCCATGACCCCATTGTGAAATGTTTCAAAGATCCAACATTCCTGTGTGGGCTCCATGACCCCATTGTGAGATGTTTCAAAGATCCAACATTCCTGTGTGGGCTCCATGACCCCATTGTGAAATGTTTCAAAGATCCAACATTCTTGTGTGGGCTCCATGGCCCCATTGTGAAATGTTTCAAAGATCCAACATTCCTTGTGGGTTCCATGGCCCCATTGTGAAATGTTTCAAAGATCCAACATTCCTGTGTGGGCTCCATGGCCCCATTGTGAAATGTTTCAAAGATCCAACATTCCTGTGTGGGTTCCATGGCCCCATTGTGAAATGTTTCAAAGATCCAAAATGCCTGTGTGGATTCCATGACCCCATTCTGGGGAGGAGAAAAACAGACGGGAATCAATGCTCTTTTTGACAAGCATGTGTTAAAGGACAACTAATTAAGAATTTGCTGGAAGAAAGATACTGCAGCCTTTCTGTCAACCAGAACATGACCTGCCAACCATCATTAATGAATGCAGAAGAATAAGAAACATCCAACATCTATGTATGATTTCAAATGGTCAGGTTTAAACACCTTACTTCTCTATTTACCGTGAAGTTGCAACAATGATACTATCTGATGATGTGTTATTATAAACTTACAGCTTCAGGTCGGCTCTGTAAATGTCCCTCTGGACCTGTGACACCCTGTTCAATTAATTCTTTAGATTTCTGCAACAATAATCATGTTACTTTGTTCATTTGTATAGTTAGAAATATAAATATCAACACATGATTATATTTACATGGGTAGAACTGAATTGATGAAAATGAATTATTATTCCAAATACACAAGCAGGTATATAACATATTAAAATTCATAGTTATTTTTATTTAAATTTTTCTTTTTCAAAAAGTAAAAGACCCTGTTAATTTTACATATGAATGAGTAAAATTAACAGGGTTTTCTACTTTTTTTAGGTTGAGGTCGACTTGGAAGCCAAGGTAAATTATGAAGAAAATATCTGGCACAAAGCAGATTCAACGCAAAACCTTTACATCGGCAGCCAAGCGTCTAGTCACTACTCTACTCCGGCTCACTGATGCATGACAAGCGTTGTGTGGAGCAAGTGCTCCCTTGGGAGCAAGTGAACAGTGTGGAAGCACAAACAGAACATCATGGTCTGAAGAGAATGATGCAGCAGGGAGTCATCATGGGTTCTGGCCAAAACTCAGAAGACCGACAAAAAATCACACGGCTACTGATATCATTGGAACTGGAACTTGGTTCCGGTTACTGAAGATTGGGATAGACCACTTATGGACTGTCCAGAGTGCTGTGATGTCGTTCTTAACTCAACTTACTTAAAATGCCCACAATCCGTATTATCTTCTTCATAAATGTGGTCTTCTGTTAATCAATCTTATACACATGGAAAATTTTAAATAAAACAATGTGTTCTGCAATACTATGAGGTATAAGTAATTATTTATGGGCAAACAACTGTATCAATAATGATTTTTAAATTGCTGACACAAATTTTGTTAATGAAAAGCCAAATGTTGTCACAAATATATTATTAAAACATATATATAATTAAAAAACTATCCTTACAATGTCAATGAGATGTCCATTTTCAGCATGAACCATGGGAAGGACTTTCAGCTCCTTGCAGCGTTTAAAACAGCTGTACATTTCTGGGTCTTCTAGCATCAGCACATCTTTATATGCCATGTATATTTTAAAAGAATTCACTCCTGAAAGAAATATCCAGAAGTGAAATTCACAAAATATTTAAAATTAAACAATAAACAATCATGAAACAATAAAATATCCATAATAATCCTTTTTTTGTTTGTTTAACATTCTACTAACTATATTTTTTATTTTTTTTTATTTTAGATTACACATTTTTAAAGAACCTGCCAAAACTGCATTTCATAGAACAGAAATTTTATACAAGAAGTTCTCATCACTCTAAATTAGAAAAGTGTTCCCTTTCTCATGACATATCCCAATAGTTTTTGAATGCTTATTAAGATTGCAATCTGTTACAGTATACAGAGTCCACGTTAGTCGAACTCGGATAAGTCGAATTTCGGTTAAGTCGAATGACCTGCTTAGCCCCGGCAATTTTCTCAATTGTGTGTGCTGTCTGAATAAGTAGAAATCCTGATAAGTGGAAGCATTTTCTAAGGTCCCTGCAACTCCTACTTATCCATACTCGACTGTATTTTATAATATATAATTTTACAATATGTCAAAAAAAAAAGTAATTTATAAATATCTTCACAAATATGCAGCTGTCCTTTTTTGTACCACATTATGAGAGAGAGAGAGAGAGAGAGAGAGAGAGAGAGAGAGAGAGAGAGAGAGAAAAACAGGAACGTGATAACATGAAAGATATAACAGAGGACTGAGAAAAATATAAAGATAACGAGAGGAAATTCTAGACAGCCTTATGAAAGGCAGAGGGGTCAGCATAAGAATGAGACATGGTGTTGTACACAGCACAAGAATGAGACATAGTGTTGCACACAGCACAAGAATGAGATATGGTGTTGTACACAGCACAGGAATGAGACATGGTGTTGTACACAGCACAAGAATGAGACATGGTGTTGTACACAGCACAAGAATGAGACATGGTGTTGTACACAGCACAAGAATGAGACATGGTGTTGTACACAGCACAAGAATGAGACATGGTGTTGTACACAGCACAAGAATGAGACACGGTGTTGTACACAGCACAAGAATGAGACACGGTGTTGTACACAGCACAAGAATGAGACACGGTGTTGTACACAGCACAAGAATGAGACACGGTGTTGTACACAGCACAAGAATGAGACATGGTGTTGTACACAGCACAAGAATGAGACATGGTGTTGTACACAGCACAAGAATGAGACATGGTGTTGTACACAGCACAAGAATGAGACATGGTGTTGTACACAGCACAAGAATGAATCATGGTGTTGTACACAGCACAAGAATGAGACATGGTGTTGTACACAGCACAAGAATGAGACATGGTGTTGTACACAGCACAAGAGGCAGGGGTGCCTTCATCACTCATCCAGGCTCTTTAGGATGATGTCTACGTGTGTAACCAGTTCACTTCTGGGGTTGGTTTCTTCCAAGTCATTTGAATGACTACTGTATCTGTCCACGGCATTATGCGGATGTTTCTTCCAGAACTATGCTACTCAATGCTCATGGCTCTCTTTTGTACATCAGTTGAACAATTCAGGTTTTGAATCATTCTTATGAAATCAGGTATATGGTGCTAAACCAAAATTGTTATAGGTCAATCAGCACTCAGTAACCTTTATTTCCTATGACTATTCCTGGCACGCAATTTAGGCTTCTATACGTCAGGACTGGCTCTAAATAACTGCCCACATTTCACTGACAAGGTTATGTTGGTTCAGGTATTCTTAACCTAGTGTAATATATCTCATATGGGTAATGAACATCTCTCTCTCTCTCTCTCTCTCTCTCGCACACAGAGTGTGAGAGACAGAGTGGGAGGGGGGGGGGGGGAGAGAGAGAGAGATACATATGCATGTGCACAAAACCACAAACATGTAATATTACTGATCATTATTCCTAACAACAGGGCTGCTTTGACATGAGCTTTCAGACAACTACACATCTACATTTCAAATACTTTAGTGTAATGCAAGATTTACCCTTTTCAGAACTGAGGACTTCCATTTCCTTGGCCACCTGATCGCTCCACCAAGTCACTGCAACGTGGAGACCATAATCACAGCACACTTTTGCATCTGCCCAACCTCTCCATTTCTCATAGGCATCCAGCAGAGACTCTCCTTTCTCAGGGACCACAAAATCAACTACAGAACCAAACAATCAGGTTATGTGAATATATGACCACAAAATCAACTACAGAACAAAACAGGTTATGTGAATATGACCTAACACTGATAGAAGCACAGCTTTAAACATTATCATTAAAAAATCAACGACAGCAAATGTATCAATCAGGTTTTGGACAGCCAATATGTGCAACTACAAACAGCACAGGATTCAATTGTTTAATCACAACAACAACAAAAACAGTAAGCCTTTTTGTATGTATTAATTACCTATCGTATGTTCCTATGCCACAGCACCATAATGCTTAACACCCTTTTCTGCACATGTGGGTCTTAAGACTTTTATCATGTAGTTGGTTTCTTTATGACAACTTTGCTTCAGAAAAAATGAGTAGCTGCTTTTAAACATGAGGCTTGGGCTACTCATCATGTAACTTTCCCTTTCTCATTTGTCAAGAGAAAGGACATTCAGCTGTGTGCATGTACAGTGATGCTGCAAAAGTGTATCTTCTGACCGACACACAGTTCTTCAGCATAGATAGCATTTTGGGACTGAGTTAGCTTCACTCTTAAATTTAACATCAGATATTTACTATAAGAACTTCCCAAATTTTGAATTTCTTTTTTTTAAAGTTTCCAATGCCAAGATATTTTTAATGTGTAAAACATGCAGAAAGAAACTCCAATGTTTCACTCTTGCTAAAGCAACTGAGGCTTTCAATCTGTTAGCCAGACTGAACCTCTACAGACCTGATACATATGAAGAAATACTTATCAATTACTTCTTACTTCTTGTGAAACTACATTTATTTTTCATATGAGGTCTTCAATGTTCTGTGTCTATCTTAATGTTGGCAGACTACTGTTATTGTTCATTCTTAGCCACTGTGATATTTAATAAGACTTAAAAAATTTCAACTTCTGACATGTTTATGGATCAGCTATCACCATTGTTCAGATCTTGTGAAATGCTACTATTTTTCTTCTTCATCCATGGTAATCCAAAACATTTTCTGTAATATTTAAGTTAAAAAGCCATTGTTTTCTTTAGTAAATGCAAAACAGTAAATGATATGTGAAACTTTACTTATCTTTAGGAAATTCCACAAACTGTATGTAAAAACATTACTATTACTATTACTATTTGATTATATTCCAAAGCATTCAGTAATGTAGATATGGCATCACTTGAAACAGGGGTTGCCTTATTGAAAACTTACTTTCTTCAAACATTTTCCAAAATAAAGCAACAAAGAGAGAACACAATCACAGCGGTAACATGTTTATAGACAAGTATTTACTGATCATGGTGGTGCCCCCTGCCAGTGCTGCCTTTGTGCCACTGTAGAAATCATCAGCTGTCACTGTGCCCATGATGGGCAACTGGAAGTGTGTGTGTGTGTCAATGCCACCTGGAAGCACACAGTGACATCTAAGTTAACGCAGAATATATGTGTACCATCACAACAAAGTACTAATGTACAGCTGACATAAATGATCTCTATAGAGAGACAGTAAAAGAAAGATAATGAAACACATAGTTTAGTGCACTTGATGCAATAAATACTCATAAAACAATATATTTGTCAGCAATAATAAATATAAAAGTAAAGCTCTGGCTAGCTGATAGGAAAATAAAAATAAAACGGCAGATTTTGTTTTCATTCATATCAAGGCATAACTCCATTGCTACAAAATACAAAGAATGCTAATCTGATGTCGGGGACTGCCACAGGGCTCTGAACTGTTTGGATTTCACATACAGTAGGTCAGTGCAAACAGAGACTGGTTGACTAACTCATTTCCTTGACTCTTTTTTTCCTTCTCAGAAAATTATCTGGAATCTGTTACATGCTAAACGGACACCAGAGCCACATTTTAGTTGGAAACATTCAATTCTGCATCTACTAGAGGTATCACCTTAAAATGCTAAGTGGGTAAGCAAGCATACCCTTGCTACTACCCAACATAGCAGTCTGAGTATCCAAAGTCTAAAGTATCTGATAAATTTGGGCCTTCATGATTTCTATCTAAACAAAATCTACTCAAAGTCTCAGACAACCCTCTTAGATCATGGACAAGTACAGAAGTGTATTAATAATCCCAGCATCTCAATTCTGTCATTGTCTCATAGAAATGTTAAAGCAGAAGGTTGAGCCCATACATCAAAGACAACCTGAAATTTGTTCACTGTCTTTATACTGGAAAGACATTTTAAATCCAAGAAATTACTTTGCCGAGTGGCAGACAGCAGAATTATAGCCACAGCTGTACTCAGATACTGACAGTAATTAAGTTTTGTTCATGACTACTTCCATATAGAATTTAAATGGAATCTAATAAACATCTGAGTGAGGAAAATGTGAATCAGATTACAATAAAGCCAGATTAATTCTTGTTCCTGATTTCCCAAGATTTCAAGCCAAATTGATTCTTGTTCCTGATTTCCCAAGATTTCAAGCTAGACTGATTCTTGTTTCTGATTTCACAAGATTTCAAGCTAGACTGATTCTTGTTTCTGATTTCCCAAGATTTCAAGCTAGACTGATTCTTGTTTCTGATTTCCCAAGATTTCAAGCTAGACTGATTCTTGTTTCTGATTTCCCAAGATTTCAAGCTAGACTGATTCTTGTTTCTGATTTCCCAAGATTTCAAGCCAAATTAATTCTTGTTCCTGATTTCCCAAGATTTCAAGCCAAATTAATTCTTGTTCCTGATTTCCCAAGATTTCAAGCTAGACTGATTCTTGTTTCTGATTTCCCAAGATTTCAAGCTAAATTGATTCTTGTTCCTGATTTCCCAAGATTTCAAGCTAAATTGATTCTTGTTCCTGATTTCCCAAGATTTCAAGCTAAATTGATTCTTGTTCCTGATTTCCCAAGATTTCAAGCTAGACTGATTCTTGTTCCTGATTTCCCAAGATTTCAAGCTAGATTAATTCTTGTTCCTGATTTCCCAAGATTTCAAGCTAGACTGATTCTTGTTTCTGATTTCACAAGATTTCAAGCTAAATTGATTCTTGTTCCTGATTTCCCAAGATTTCAAGCTAGACTGATTCTTGTTTCTGATTTCACAAGATTTCAAGCTACAGTTAGATGGTGAGGAATTATATAATCAACTCACAAGCCACATAACATATCAGGTCAATTTCACAGAGGCTTGCAAATTTAAAATATTTAATACATGACAGTTACACATTTTAGGAACAGACAGACCCCAGGAAATATGCAAAAATCAAACATGCAAACTATATATGAGCGGAACCTGGTAGCAGTATTATCAGCTACCAAAACAAACAGTTTGTGCGAGCCAACCAATCCAAAAACTGTATATCCGCTTACATGTTACTAAAAAAAAAAAAACAAGATGACACAACCTAAGATGTTGAAGCTTTAAATATAATTTTAAAAACTGATTATAATACTTTGTGTCTGGACAACATATTTAGTCACATTAGCAAAACAAGTTGGAAACATCAATGGTTTATGATCAAATATCTCATGCAGGCATGCAGAAATGCCTACATACTTTGCATAAAAACAACACAACTGGAAGACCGCTGAATATTTTAAATTTAAAAGAAACAAAGTCTGTTGTCGACTGATGATTGCTGAACGATGGAAATCCATTCCCCCAAGCACACAGGAAAAATGTAGTGCAGGCAACCACAATGAAATAAAACAAATATTAGTTTGTTTTTTTTTTATTTCCTAAAATGTTGCTACCTTTTATTTTATTTTATTTTGACTATTTGAGTCATAAAAGAAACTATACTAATGAAGCCAAGAAAAATGGAGAACACTCAATGTTGTTGTAAGGGTCTAAATGCTGACAGAATAGGCACAATATAAATGAACCCTAGAGCTGATCAGATCAGTATGTTTGAACAGTGGACATATGGTTCTGTTACAGTGACTACTTTTGATAATACTCATAGGCATGAGGAATGGGGTTTGACAATCTAGATTTAAACAGCTAATACATACCATTTAAGAATGGCATAGCATAGTGAAGAAACAAAGGATTGTTGACTGATTGCTTAGTTTTGTAATCCACTGGAAGATAAGTTTAATTCTTCAAGTCCAGTGAATTGTCATTCAAGTGATCTAAGCCCTGAGAAACACTTGCATATGTCACAGTGAGGTTCATGTAAATACCACTACAACATTGTAACAAAGTACGATCTTCATGCAGATTGTGATGCAGAGCTCTCTAGACCCTCTCCAAGCTAAGAAGGAAAAATGTTGTATGAAAGACTAGCACAAAAACTTCACAGCTATGGAGGAGGGATGATGATCGTTAGAATGCTAGCTAGACTGAGGACCAAGTCTGTGGATAAGCCAGATGTACTTTGTAGAAGTGCTCTGTCTAGGTCATTGTGAGACCTACTCCTGATCTTCTAATCCAGAAACACAAGATACAATGTCGAACCACACAGAGTAATAAACATCATGGACAACCAGGTACATGTGCGGGTCGATGGAGGAAGAAGCATGACTTAAAAACATAATTTACAAAGAAAAGCCTTAGAGTTACATTGTCATACTGAAATATTATATACAAAAATAAAGATCTGATAAATATTACCTGGAATGACAAACTTGCCACGAGCATCTATAGTCCTTGCCCCTCCGGGAATAACAAGGTTAGTTCCCACTTGCCTGAAAAACAGTTTCAACTGTTTTAAAAAATCTAAAACTTTATCTAAAAAATCTCCAAAAACAAAATGGTCTTTGCAACTACACTGTGTGTAGACATGGTGTCTTTGGGCAGTGCCCACATGTCTATATAACATCCTTAGTACTGGCTGCAACTGCACTGTGTGTAGACATGGTGTCTCTGGGCAGTGCCCACATGTCTATATAACATCCTTAGTACTGGTTACAACTGCACTGTGTGTAGACATGGTGTCTTTGGGCAGTGCCCACATGTCTATATAACATCATTAGTACGGGCTGCAACTGCACTGTAGTTGACATGGTGTCTTTGGGCAGTGCTCATGTCTGTATAATATCTTCGGTACTGGTTGCAACTGCACTGTGTGTAGACATGGTGGATATGATTACAATTACAGCACACATTCACAAAATATAAATTATTTGGAGCAGGAAGTGGATTTATTTGGGTCACATAATAACCTCATAATGACATCACTTTACCACACATGGCTGTATAAAAAAACACCTATATTTATGCTCAAAATTTGGGAACAAATAACGACAACAAATATCACAAATTTAATTTACTGTTTTTAGCGACTTGAAGGCCGATGTCACAGGGGCCATCTTGCTTGCCTGTCTGCATGTAGATCACGTTTTAACCCTCCTAGAATTTTATAAAGCTGTCCAAGACTAAAAATTTCTTCTGCCTTTTTTTCTTTTCCTTTAGTTTCTTAGGGTAGCGTTTCAGAGAATAATAACAATATGTTTCATAATAATACAATTTTGAAAAAGGTTATTATTGAAGATTCTTAAGAGATGAAAGTATTAAAGATATTGTCTTGTTCAGACTTGTCCCCTTTATTTTTACAGTGCATTCTGTGGAACCATTTTTCTTCATAGTAACCAAAATGTCTGTGTTTTTTCCACTGTTCAAATCAAAACCTTTCTTCTGAGGTATGTATATACATACACCCACACAAAAACATTTGCAACAACAGAAAACTGACAGTTAAAACAACAATCTTTGTATATCAAGCTGGTGTTTTCAGCACTCTTGTTTGCAGTAGTGAAACTTGGTGGACTCGCACCGCAGGGAAATCTGGAAAGTATTAGGGATCAAGGAGAAAAATGATGGATAGGTCAAGAGCTGAGCATCTGAGGAAGAGCTGGCTGAGTACATGGATGAGCGGGTAATCTCAGTCACTCTGACAATCCCCATGCACTGTAATTCCATGTCTCCCTATGGCACAATTTAACACTACACTATCGGCTGGACAGCAAGAAAGGTGTCAACAACAATAATACACTATTTCTCATTAAGTATATTAATACATTAGGTGCATAGCAGCATTTCAAATGAACTTACTTAATAAACCCATCCTCAATATAAACATCAGCATGAAATGACTGGTCATCATTGACAACCAAACCATTCTTGATAAAGATTCTTGTTTGGGCACTCTGCAAAAAATTAATGTTTTTTTAATTTCATGTAAAAGTGCTACGTAATTTTGAAAATATTCATGACTCCCATCCCCCCCAAAAATTCATAATAATAGTAGGATGGATGGTGAGAATATTAAATGCTCAGACTGTGACTGCTACATCAATCCTAGTAAGCCACATCTGCTACATCCATTCTTGTAGGCCACATCTGCTACATCAATCCTTGTAGGTCACATCTGCTACACAAATCCTTGTTGGCCACATCAGCTACATCAATCCTTGTAGACCACATCTGCTACATCAAT